TTTTTAGGCAATTTAGGCACATCATAATTTTCAACCTATTGATGAGAATACATACTTAGGCACAATCTATTGATTGAGAATTATAATGTGCCTAAATTGCCTAAAAAGTTTTTTTTTTTTTTTTTTTTTTTTTTTGAGATGGAGTTTCACTCTTGTTACCCAGGCTGGAGTGCAATGGCGCGATCTCGGCTCACCGCAGCCTCTGCCTCCTGGGTTCAGGCAATTCTCCTGCCTCAGCCTCCTGAGTAGCTGGGATTACAGGCACGCGCCACCATGCCCAGCTAATGTTTTTGTATTTTTAGTAGAGATGGGGTTTCACCATGTTGACCAGGATATATTAATATGCTGCAGTTTCAACTCAGCTCTTTAGGAAGTTGTCTGAAATAGAATTTCTGCCATTGATTTATTAGGGGTAATAGAAGGAAAGGTTCTGTAATCAAAGGCTGGCTGTACACAAGCCAATTTAGGTCCTTCAAAGCTTCTTAAAACCTTCAAAGTTGGCAAAGTGCATGGTGAATCTCAGATTTAGGTGATATTTAAAAACTCAAAGCAATTTATCAATGAATTAGTATTATATAGAACACAATTCGAGAAGCCCTCAGCTAGATATCGGAAGCATTGCCTGACTCACATTAGAATCTTGATGCCTTATCTGGAAATTTACCTTTTCCTGTGCAAACTTGGTAAAATAAAATAAAATACAGGGAGAAGCGTGATGATCATGCAACAGTTAGTGATTGGTGATTGGGTATTGTAATTTTCATGCAAGAGGCACAAGGACAAATAGGGCTAGAGTTTTCACTGGAGAAATGTCAGAGGTGTTAGAGCCAGAGTGACCTCATCTTGATTAGGGGCTAGATAAAATAAGGCTGAGACCTGCTGGGCTGCACTCTCAATAGGTTAGGCATTCTTAGTCACAGGATGAGGTAAAAGGCACAAGATACAGATCATAAAGACCTTGTTGATAAAACAGGTTGTAGTAGAGGAGCTGGCCCAAACACACCAAATCTAAGATGGTGTCAAAAGTGTCTTCTGTTCGTCCTCACTGCTCAGATATGCTAATTATAATGCATTAGCATGCTAAAAGACACTCCCACCAGTACCATGAATTTACAAATGCCATGGAAACATCAGGAAGTTACCCTAAATGGTCTAAAAAGGAGAGGAACCCTCAGCTCTGGGAATCGTTCACCCTTTTTTTCAAAAATTACATGTATAATCTACTCCTTGTTTAGCACATAATCAAGAAATAACTATAAGAATACTCAGTTGAGCAGCCCATGCCACTGTTCTGCCTATGGAGTAGCCATTCTTTATTGCTTTACTTTCATAATAAGCTTGTTTTCACTTGACAGAGCCACCTTGAATTCTTTCTTGCACAAGGTCCAAGAACTCTCTCCCGGGTTCTGGATCAGAAGTAGGAGTCTTCTGTTTCTGGTAACAGAAGTAGGAGTCTTTCAAGTTAGTAGAAAAGGGAATTTGAGTTCATTGTGTGAGGTCTTCTTTGCTACAGCAAGTGAGAAACCCAGCTTCATAAGATGCCCTCATATGGTACAAAATAACATGGATATCCTTCCATCGATTTCCTTAAGTCTCCAAGATGTGGCTAAAGTCCTTTCTTTCTTATGGTGTCCTCTCATAGCACCATCAGCCCACTGTGAAATCAAACTTCTATGATTTCAGAGGAGAATTTATGTATTAAACTCTCTGACAAATGTTTACTTTGTCTCTGTATTTAGAGTGTACGTTTTGTTTCTCCCAGAGAGCACAATAGCTTGTCTTGTCATGAAAGCGTAAGCTGAAAAGTATCTGAGACAGCTCTCAATCAATGCAGAGGTTTATTTTTCCAGTGTTGTCAACATGCCCAGGAAAAAGGAAAACAAAACCACAGGACTGTGGTTTTTCTTTCCTGCCTTTTCCGAAGAGGATTTTGAGGGCTTCAATATTTAACAGGGAAGTGTGAGGAGGGGAAAGAGGGCATGTACAACATTACTGAATCCATGTGTTTTTTGCATGTGAAAAGGAGAGGGTAGAGGGAAACAGTTAAATATGTATTTATCTGTGTTAGTATATCTGCACTTCACACAAGATAAACATAGAACAGTTACTATCTGTAGCTATCTGAAACAAAAGGAAAGGCAGTTTCTTGAATGACTCGGTTTCCAAGCTTAAGTTTTCCCTTTGGCATAGTGAATCTGGGGTTCCAAGGTTTTCCTTTCCTTTCACAATAAACAATACGGCTTTGTGACTAACTGAATGATATACCATGATTGACTTGATTGTGTAAAAGATTTTCTTAATGATGGTAAATGACAAATAAAAGTCTAAAGACTGCACATGACTTGAGGATTGAAGTAGTTCTGACATCTTTATACACAAAATTTATGAATTTGTGCTTGTAATTATAATTAGCATCAACTTTTTAAAAGAAAAGTATATGAGTTATTCCAGACAACATAGGCTTATTGAAAATCATAATCACTAAGGTGTATCAAGCTTACCGTGTAACAGATACATGTTGTCTCATTTAATTCTTACAGCAGCTTTATGAAACACTATTGTCCTGATTATACAGAAGGAGAAACAGTATGTTGGAGGATTTGAGTGATTTCTCGTGGTTATACAGTTGTAACTGAAACACAGGTGAGGCACTCGCCACTTGCAGAGAGTCCTATTAACAAGAGCGATGTCTCATATAAAGAAAGTGATTTATTCCAAAGTTAGCTTAGGGAAGAAAAGCAAACTTCCACCTAAGGATACTACTTTGCTTTTAGAGCAGAAAGCAAGCACTTTGAAAGGAAGAGGGGAAAGTGAGCAAGAGGGGCGTCCATGTGCTAGCTCTGGGGCCTTATCTGCGGTGCAGTGGAGCTAGTGACTGCTGGCGCATTCACGGGCAGGAATAGGCCAGAAACTGCCCTATCTCCTGCAGCTAGGAGATGGCAATCGGCTTGATCTTTGACTGTTACCTCTGGAGGCAATCTCCTGGTGGGTGAGAGTTCTGTGCCAGTCATTCTTCCATTTGTAAATCAAGGGTTAGCTCTCAAGGAGAGTTCTCTCTTGGAGCACATACTTAGATGAATTTGCCCTGTAGAAAGCGTATGGTGAATGGGGGTAAAAGGCTATATTTACATTTCTAAAGGGCTAAGAAGTGGGGAACTAGGGGAACAAGAAAAGAAGATGAGATAAAAAAATAATTAAACTATCTTTTAGAAAATACGCATACTTGGTTACACAGCCTGTAAATGATAGAGCCAGCATCCAAATCTCACCTGATTTCAAACACTGGGCACCTTTTCTACTTGGTTATGCTGCTTGCCACTGATGAAGTTGTTTTGTCTCCTTAAAGAGTATATTATCTTAAGGTTCATTCAAACTAGTTGACAAAATATTATCAACTTGATGAACTATAATAATGGTAAGTAGGAGCACCACAAAATGTTCAAAGAAGAAAATCTCTAAAAATAAAATTAATGGCGCTCTTAATTTTTTTTTTAATTCAAATTATTGTTCTGACCTGGGGGACATGTAGCTTATTTTAAGCAAAAGCTTTTATTTATCTTAGGCTAAAAAGGCTAGTGCAAAAGAACCACATGCCTTACAAATCTTCAGCTGCTGCCACCAACCAGGGACAGATTTCATTTTATGGAAGAGAAACACTCATTGTTCTCACATTGATTGTTAAATCCATTTCATGCATCAATAATAATTTCTCAGCAACAATGCAATATGTGTATACCAATAGATTTCAGCTCTCTTTTAGCAACCCGCCTTGGTGTCCTGCCTGAGAAACATGTTTATCCCAGGAAAGGCTGGTGTTTGCTTTGTATGTTGTAAACACCCAGAATTGTTATTGACTGTTTAGTTGCTTCATTTGTCCTTTGTAATCATTATCTGACTAAACATTTAAAAACACACACAGAAAACAACCTCATTCACTTCACCATTTTTTAAAATACCTAATGTTTTCTTTAGAGGACAGGTTATATCAAGTTAAAAGATCTCAAGGAAAGAACTGGCCTTAGAAGTTTTTATTAAAATGCAAACATACATACTTAAAGTATTTAAATAAAAATACGCTCCTTAAAGAAATGAAAGTTACCAGGATTCCACCTTCCAGGAATAGCCCATCATTAACTTTATTCATATCCTCCTTGAATTTTCCCATACCTAGAACAATTATTTTCAATATAATTTTAGATAAAGCCTTATTTCTGCTGGAAAAGTGTAAATATGCATATATTTGACAATTCGTACTACACAGTTTATTCAATCTCAGCCAAATCTGATCCTTAAGAACTGTAGGCTGAACGTGGGACCTGTAATCCTAGCACTTTGGGAGTCTGAGGCAAACAGATCGCTTGAGTCCAGGAGTTCCAGACCAGCCTAGGCAACATGGTGTAACCCTGTCTCTTCACAAAATACAAAACATAACCAGGTGTGGTGGCATGTACCTGTCGCCCCCACTACTCAGGAGACTGAGCGGGGAGGAGAGCTTAAACCTGTCAGGCAAAGGTGGCAGCGAACTGAGATTGTACCCTTGCACTCCAGCCTGGGCATCAGAGCAAGACCCTGTCTCAAAAACACACTCACACAAAAACTGTAAGTAAAGCAGAATCTCTTTAAAAATGGGTTTTTCTGACTCTACTGAAAATCTCCTACTAAATGTATACTTACATCCACAGAAGACTTCTCAAAGGATGGGTATGTTGTCTCCCTCAACCCAGGTAGCATGGGACCTGGAAGTGGGTGAGAAGTACTACTTACTTCTAAATATTGTTTTCACACCGTTCTTCTTTTCTTCCTAAAAACCTCATCACTGCACATTGTCACTGTTATCTGTAGACTCCAGCATCACCCTCCACATTTCTCAATGATTTAACCTACCTGCTTATAGCCATTCTCTTTAAAACTTCTACCCATTAGTTCTTGAAATCCGTAACACACGTGAGGATGAACATACCAATAGCCTGGCCATTCAGTTCTTTGAACCCCCTTCTCCCCAAGGGTCTTGAACGTGGCTCTCTCTCAGTGAAACACTCCTGCAGTCATTACCTAGACCTGCATCACCAATGCCATAGCCACTAGCCGCAGGTGGCTATTGAGCACATGAAATGTGGCCGGTTCATATCGAGATGTGAGTGTAAAATATATACCGGATTTCAAAGAGTAAGCACTAAAACAGGATAGAAACTAGCTTCTGAACAATTCTTATGTTGATTAGATTACAAGTTGAAATAAGATTTGTATGTGTTTGGCCAAAAGAAATCTATTATTAAAATTAAATTTTACCTCCAGGTGTGGTGGCTCACGCCTGTAATCTGACCACTTTGGGAGGCAGAGGCGGACAGATCACCTGAGTTCAGGATTTCGAGAACAGCCTGGCCAACATAGTGAAACCACATCTCTAATAAAAATGCAAACAATAGCCAGGCATGGTGGTACGCATCTGTAGTCCCAGCTACTCAGGAGGCTGAGACAAGAGAATCGCTTGAACCCGGAGGTGGAGGTGTCAGTGAGCCAGGATCGCACCACTGCAATCCAGCCTGGGCTACAGAGTGAGACTCTGTCTCAAAAAAATAAAAATAAAAAATAAGCCAGGCACGGTGGCTCACGCCTGTAATCTCAGCACTTTGGGAGGCTGAGGTGGGTGGATTGCCTGAGCTCAGGAGTAGACGACCAGCCTGGGCAACATGGTGAAACCCGTCTCTACTAAAATACAAAAAATTAGCCAGGCGTGGTGGCGTGCATCTGTAGCCCCAGCTACTTGGGATGCTGAGAGAGGAGAATTGCTCTGCTGGCAGAGGGAGTTTGCAGTAAGCCCATATCAGGCCACTGCACTCCAGCCTGGGCAACAGAGCGAGACTCCATCTCAAAAAATAAATAAATAAATAAAATTGCGTTTCTTTCTTTCTACATTTTTTAATCTACAAGAAAATCCAAAGTTATGTATGTGCCTCATACTATATTTCTACTGGAAGGGTCTAGCCTGGACTTTTCTACAACAAGTGACTGTCACTCTTCATAATTTCATTTCCTGCATACCATTTTCTGCCTACCTTTCTGTTTACAGCTTGCTTGTTTTATCGTCTTGACCTCAGCAATCTTTCTGGGGTCTCTGATGTTGCACTGAACTAACTAATTTCTCTCTTTCCCTCACCCCTTGCTTGTGCTTGCCCCATTCTCACCTTGTTGCACTTGGTGATTAATGATAAGTGATTGCAGTCACTCTTTGGCATTTACTCTCAGTTCCCTTGTTCTCTCTCACTTTGTCACACTTCTAGATCCAAAATTCTATGATGGCTAACTTGTACTCTCCACTGACTCTGTGCCTGCTCTCTGGCAACTGAATGTGGCTGGAGAAAAAACAAATAAACAAAAACTCAAAACCAAACTTTCTAGGTTCACTTGAAAATCATAACCATGAATGTCAAGTGGACGCTCCACTTTGCTAGATCATGTGATACATTTTGAGACAGTGTCTTGTCTCGCTCAGTCACACAGTCTGGAGTACAGTGGCACAATCATGGGTCACTGCAATCTCTGCCTCCCAGGTTCAAGTGATTCTTGTGCCTCCACCTCCACCACGTGCAGCTAATTTTTGTATTTTTAGTAGAGGTGGGGTTTGACCATGTTGGCCAGGCTAGTCTCAAACTCCTGGCTTCAAGCAACCCAACCATCTTGGTCTCCCAAACTGCTGGGATTACAGGCGTGAGCCACTGCGCCCAGCCTACTAGGCCATTTAATTTTCATACCTTAGCGTCTCTCTCCAACCTCTATTTCTACTTTCAGTTGATAACTTTGATGTCTTTTACCCTAAGAAATTTCAAATAATCAGAGGAGTATTATCATTTAGATTTCTATAGGCTCCTAGTATGTATTCCCATATAATCTAAATTCCTCTGCTCATATCACAAATGAGCTATCTATTTGGGCATTGCATTATGATTCATCGAACTCCTGAATAATTTTGCTCCAACAAATAGCCCTCTTCCTCTCACATATTCACTTTTTAGGGCATTTATACTTATAAACTTATAAATATGTATTATTTCTCTAATTTATGAAAAAACTTTTTATTGGTTACATTTTCCATGTCAGCACCACCTTATCGTTTTGCTTAGTAGTAAATCTCCTCAAGACAGTGGTCCGTTATTTGCCTCTACCACAAACACTGCCACATTGCTAAAACCAGTGCTCAATATACAAGCCTCATTGTGCTTGACCCATCAGCAGCATTTGACATAGTGGATCACTATGTCCATTGACCTTTCCAGCTTCTGGTAGCTTTTAGCCTTCCTGAGCATGCAGCAGCATTAATTTCACCTCTGCTTCACCTTCGCCTTCACACAGCTTTCCTTTCTCTACTTTTCTGTGTCCAAGCTCCTTCTCTGTTTTGATCTCTTATGAAGACACCAGTTTTTGGATTTAGGAACCACATTAAGTGCAGGGTCTTGAGAGCCTTAAATAATTATATTTATAACAATTTCATTTTCAAATAAGGTTGCATTCTGAAATTCTAGATGGACATGGATCTTGGGAAATACTATCTAACTATTTGTAGGATCTTGATATCCTTAAGTAATTGCAACTATAAAGATCCTATTTCCAAATAAGGTCATAATTTAAAGTTCTGGATGGACATGAATTTTGGGAAATACTATTTTACTATAGTGTGTAAAATCTACATGAGAAAAAATTGTTAATCGTTTATATTATTACCCAGGATTTGTACCTTTTCAATGTTCTATTTTTTATTTTGCTATCTTTGAATTGTTTTTGTTTTATTTTGCTCTGTTTTTCAGAAAGTGCGTTAACCACACAACTAATAACGCTCTCTTAGAATAGTGCCCAAAGTTATGGAAATAATGACAAATCAATATTTTTGTAACAGCACTAATGTTCTAGTACACAGAGATAAGAGATCAGAGTTGAGAAATCACATAGAAACATAAAACTACAGGGAGAATATTTGGAGAAACCTTGTCCAAGTCAACTTGACCCATGAAATCAGGTACTGTGTGGACAAATAATTTGGCAAGCTAATGGCCCTACAAGTTAAACATTAGTGGAGTCCTTCCCCTTGTCTTGACCAATAATAGGAATACTTTCAATATTTTATGGCAAACCATGGAGTTGTTTCAAACTGAAGCTTTGCCTCTAATGTTGTGGCTGTGGCTGAGTGACAAACAGAAACCTCCTGCAAACTGAGCCAGTAACTGACCATGAAACTGGAGAACTGGAATAAGAAACTCATCAAAAGTTTCCTGAAAGCCTTTCATTTTCAAATGCCTGAGCACACCAGCTAGCTATGGGCTTTCTAAAAAGTATAAATGATTAGGTTATATCCATGGCACATTTAATAAATCTTTGTTGATAATGATGTCACAGGCATGTAATATTTTCCTATGTGTATTACTCCTGTGCATACGATTTAAAAAATAAATACAGTTGCTTCCTATATTTAAAGATCCAAGGATGAGCATTTCATTCAATCAGTAAATGAAATTAAAAACCAGAATAAATGGACAAGTTCAAAATGGACATGTACAAAAGATGGAATAAAAAAATAGGAAGTATATGATTCACTTCTGTTTTGACCTAAGAAGTTTAGGAGTTTCATATATCTGATTAAAAAAAAAAGTATAAAATAAATATAACATAAGTAAATTGTTATTTAAAAGGAATATCCAGAAGCTAGTATTTCTATATGTTGCCTTAACTCTCTCTTCATAACCACTCAAATTATTGAGAGCTAGAATGATCAGGAAACCTATCTCTTTTTCTATAGCTAAATACATAGGTGCTTTAAATTAGGAAATCCAATTCTAAAGCATTACAAGTTTGAATTATCAAATTATCAATGTTTTTTCTTCTAAAACATATTTTCCATCTCTTACTTTTAATAGATAATTGTGGAAAATTAGTGATATGGTTTTGCTTGATCCCCACCCAAATCTCATCTTGAATTGTAGCTCCTGTGATTCCCACATGTTGTGGGAGGGAGCTGGTAAGAGGTACAAATCATCGGGACAGGCCTTTCCCATGCTGTTCTCATGATAGTGAATAAGTATCATGAGATTTGATGGTTTTATAAAGGAGAGTTCCCCTGCACACCTCCTCTTGCCTGCTCCCATATAAGATGGGACTTTGTTCCTCATTCACCTTCTTCCATGATTGTAGGGCCTCTCCAGCCATGTGGAACTATGAGTCCATTAAACCTCTTTTCTTTGTAAATTACCTAGTCTTGAGTATGTCATTATTAACAGTGTGAGAACAGACTAATACAGTAAATTGGTACTGGTAGAGTAGGGTGCTGTGATAAAGATACCCAAAATGTGGAAGCGACCGAACTGGTTAACAGGCAGAGGTTGGAACAGTTTGGAGGGGTCAGAAGAAGACAAGAAGATGTGGGAAAGTTTTGAACATTCAAGAGAATTGTTAAATTGCTTTGACCAAAATGCTGATAGTGATATGGACAATAAAGTCCAAGATGAAGTGGTCTCAGATGGGCATGAGGACCTTGTTGGAAACTGGAGCAAAGATGACTCTTGCTATGTTTTAGCAAAGAGATTGGTGGCATTGAGAGATGCTACCTGCCCTAGAGATCTGTGGAAATTTTAACCTGAGAGAGATGATTTATGGCATCTGGTGGAAGAAATATTTCTAAGGAGCAAAGCGTTCAAGAGGTGATTTGGGTACTATTAAAAGTATTCAGTTTTATGTATTCATAACAATATGGTTTGGACTTGGAACTTATGTTTAAATGGGAAGCAGAGCATAAAAGTTCAGAAAATTTGCAGCCTCATGATGCCATAGAAAAGAAAAACCCATTTTCTGAGGATAAATTCAAGTGGGCTGCAGACATTTACGTAAGTAACGAGGAGTCAAATGTTAATTGCCAAGATAATGGGAAAAATGGCTCCATGGCATGTCAGAGGTCTTCACGGCAGCCTGTCCCATCACAAGTGGGGAGATCTAGGAGGAATAAATGGCTTCATGGGCCAGGCCCAGGGTCTTGCTGGTTTGTACAGTCTCAGCCCTTGGTGCCCTGCATCCCAGCTGTGGCTAAAGGGGGCTAACTTAGAGCTCGGGCTGTTGCTTCAGCAGGCGCAATCCCCAAACCTTGGAAGCTTACACATGGTGTTGAACCAGTGGGTGCACAGAAATCAAGAATTGAGATTTGGGAACTTCCGGCTAGATTTCAGAGGATGTATGGAAATACCTGGATATCCAGGCAGAGGTGTGCTGCAGGAGCAGAGGTCTCATGGAGAACCTCTGCTAGGGCAGTGCAGAAGGGAAATGTGGGGTGCCAGCTCCCATAGAGTCCCCACTGGAGTATTGCCTAGTGAGCTGTGAGAAGAGAACCAACATTCTCCAGACCCCTGAACGGCAGATCCACAGACAGCTTGCATTGTGTACCTGAAAAAGCTGCAGACACTCACTGTCAGCCTGGAAAAGCAACCAGGAAGGGACTATACCCTGAAAAGCCACAGGGGCAGAGCTGCCCAAACGTGACATGGTAAATGCCCCATAAAACTGCATACCTCAACCATACCTCAGCTTTCTGTTGAAACTGCTCTCTGTAACCCTGATGTGACAGGCAAGCAATCCAAACCCATGCCATCTTGGCCCCTGTGACTTGTAATAAGTAATTAAGGTCTGTAATTTCCACCCTACCCAGGCAATGTGTAAACTAACCCTTATCTTGACTTATGTGAACCACTTAAGTAACAATCGGAATGTCCAAAGTCCCCTGGCCCTAGGAATGTCTGAAGCCTCCCACCCTTACCCCCACCCAGGAGGCAGTTTACAGAATATCCAAAGCCCACTGGCCCTCAGAATGTCCAAAACCCTTCGCACCTACCCCCACCCAGGAGGTGGTTTACAGGCATAAAAGGTCTTAACACCCTCATTTCAGGACTGCGGGTTAGAGAGACACAAGTCCTCTACGGTCACCAGCAATAAAGACGCTGTAATTTGGCCTAGTCTTTGTCTCAGTGGTAATTTCGTGCTCACTTTGTTACAACATTTGGACACCCCAGTGAGATTTTTCCATCATCACTCAGACAAAATCCCTGGAGTCTCTCCCGAGCGGCCGCCCCCACCTCGGGGATCTCTAGGGGAATCACCCCCTGAGACGTTCCAGGGCCCCAGATTTCCGGCCCCGTGGCAGACAGGTGACTGCCCTGCCATCATTCACCTAAAATTCCTCAGGGTCCCGGGAATCTCCGGAGGTAAGTCAGGTCTAGAAATAGGGGGACCAGTCCATCAGGAGCCTAGGTCAGGAGAACGGACGCGGTCATTAATCTCTGATGAGGCAAGCCTACCATGAGACATCACTGGAAAAGGTTTTGTAATCTCTATGAGCTGTGGTGAATTCAAAATTCACACCCAGTTAATTGGCTGGCCCATTCGTTCATTTGTTTTGTCACTTTCCAACCTTCCCTATGCCCTTGGACTCCACCAGGGCACATCTAAAGAAAGATCCTACCAAAGTGGGTTTTTTAATCTCCTAAAAGCTTACCATTCACTGCTGTGGTCCCGCGCAGGTGACGTCAATCCACACCCCTGGCCACTTCCACCCATCTCCTTACCTCGAGTCAGGGATAGGCCTATCAACCTTGTTGCTCCCACCTTATACAACCTTGCTACAGAGGCACACTTAAACCTGGTACTGGAAAGGGCAAGGCACAAGTACAATGTTTTCCATAATTGACAGTACTATAAAAGCAAACAGGGCCAGGTAACAACCGGTACATTAAAAACAAAACAAAACAGATAGGATCGTCTAGTTCCCAGCCCTGCACCCTCCTCCAGTACATGATGGCCAATTTCAAGGCTGGATTTTCAGGCCACTATGGGGTAAAACTAACCCCAGAAAAACTCCACACTCTGTGTAAATTGGAGTCGCCATTGTTTGGGGTGGGGTTGCCAGACACCAAGACATATAATCCCAAGGTAACCCAGGCTGTATGGAATGTAGTAACAGGTTCCCCTAGGCACCCAGATCAGTTTCCATATATTAACCAGTGGCTAGGCTTAGTTCAACAGCCCCCTTTGACGGCTTAAATGCTGCATAAAACAAGTTACAAGTTAATGCTGGTAGGCCCTAATGGAGCCCCTTCCGAGCCAGCCATACTTCCCTCCCCAGCAGAAGATGAGGAATTACCTCCACCCTACTCAAGGCCCTCTGAACCAGGGCCTCATCATCCCCCTCTACTGGACAGCACCAGTAACCAACCCGTGTCCCCTGCACACCCACAGCGGGGCTCCACACCCAGCGGCAGTCCTTCCTCTCTGAGAGGCGCCCCCAACGGGAGAAGACAATCGGGGTCGTCCATTCTTTGTTCACATCACCTTCTCGTCAAGTGACTTATATAACAGGAAGGTAATAGAAATTAAAAAGAGGGCTGAAACACCAGGTGCCGGAATAAGCTTTATTAAGAGCAAGGGAAAACCTGCCGGGCTGCACCCAAAATTGGTGCGCAGCACCTGTGGTGTGGCAAAAGGGATTTTTATAGCCTGCAAGCTGGCAGATGCATCTGGTGTAAGGGGCTGTGCAGGAGGGGAGGTGCTGGGGAACTGCTGAGTTTAATAGTTCCCCGGAGGGGTTCATGCTGGGGAACTGCTAAGACGGCAAGAGGGGGAGGGTTAGGGACCTGCTGAGATGGAAAGTTCCCGGGAGGGGGTTGTGCTGGGAGGCTGGGGAACTTGAGGTGGCAGCGGGGTTTTAAAATGGAGTAAGTTCTATCAGAAGGCTCAACATCCCCCCTCCTCTGAGAAGCCCCAGGCTTTGACAGGGCTCTTGGAATCTGTCCTCCAGTCTCATCGCCCCACTTGGGGCAACTGCCAACAATTATTACTGATCCTGTTCACCACAGAGGAAAGAGGCAGAGTTAGGCAGGAAGCCCTGAAAGCCATCATAGGTCCAGGGGGAGGAACAGTCGAAGAGAACCTCTACCCAACTCCAATACCTCAGAGGGGTCACCAGGCTCTGAACACGTTTCACCGGTATCTTTTAGCAGGGGATAAGGGGGTGGCGAGAACACCTGTCAACCTCTCTAAGGTAGGAACAGTGACTCAGGGTCTGCAGGAGTCACCGGCTGCTTTCCTGGAAGGCCTACGAGAGGCATACCGAACCTATACTCCTATAGACCCTGAGGCCCCGGAAAATCAACGGGCCATTAACTTAGCATTTGTCTCCCAGTCAGCCCCAGATATCTGGAAAAAGTTATAAAAACTAGATGGATTCCAGGGAATAAATTTAACCCAATTGCTGGAAATTGCCCAGAAGGTTTTTAATAACAGGGATGCTCCTGGAGCAGTATAAGACAAAAAATTTACTAATGCAGTAATAGCAGCCCTTCAGGAAACGTCGTCCTCCCACGAGGGCATGGGGCCTTGCAAAAGGGCCCCTGGGGTCCCTGGCCCCCGTTAGAAAGAAATCAATGTACGTACTATAAACAAGAGGGACATTAAAAAAATGAGTGCCCCGAGAGAAAAAAACAAGTAACCGCTCAGGAAAAGCCACCGAGGGCTACCCTCAATTTAAAAGGTCAGGATTGACGGGGCCAGGGCTCTTATTTGTTAAGCCCCCAGGAGCCCAGGGTTACTTTAAAGATTGGGGGCAAACCTATCAGTCTTTCAGTGGACAGCAGAGTGACCCACTCAGTCCTTAGCCTCTGGGACCACTATCCAGTAGGAAAACAGTCATCCAGAGGGCCACAGGAAAGATCATAACAAGTTCATGGGCCACAAATCAAGTCTTTAACTTAGAAAATGGCACCGTTGCCCACTCCTTCTTAGTTCTTCCAGAATGCCTACCCGCTATTAGGGCAGGACCTACTTCACAAACTCTGAGCAACCATCTCCTGCGAAAATCAGGTCTGCCTCTCTGTCCCCCCTTTGCCCCCCGTATCAGAAGCACCTCAGCAAATCCTCAACATTTGTACTCTGTCAGATGAGTATCTTTTGCAGGAAGCTTTATCACCAGAAACAAATCAGGCATCAACGTCAAACCTCCTCCACCAATTCCAGGAGAGTGTACCCAGAATGTGGGCTGAAACCAATTCCCCATGTCTCACAGAACACCGTAGCCTGGTTGTGGTCCAACTGTTGGCAGCGGCAGCTCTGGTCCAGGTATGGTAATACCCAATGAGTCAGGAAGCCAGGCAGGGAATCGCTCAGCACATAACAAGACTCCTGGAAGGAGGAATTCTCACCACCTGTAAGTCACCCTGAAACACCCCTCTGCTCCCTGTTCTAAAACCTGGCACAAAGAATTACCGGCCAGTACAGGACTTAAGAGAAGTAAATAAAAAAGTAAAAACTGTCCACCCCACGGTCCGAAATCCATATACCCTCCTAAGCCTCCTGAATCCAAACCACCATTACTATATCATCCTAGACCTCAAGGATGCATTCTTTTGCATCCCACTGGCCCCAATCAGCAGACCCATATTCACCTTTGAGTGGACAGGCCTGGACACCGGGGTCTCAGGGCAACTCACATAAACCTGGCTGCCTGCGGGATTCAAAAACTCTCCCACCCTATTTAATAAGGCACTTAGCCAAGATCTTGCCATATTCCTGGCCAAGTTCCCTGAGTGTACTCTACTCCAATATGTAAATAACTTACTTCTGGCCTCAAGAACCCAAGAGGCCTGCAGAGGAGCCATCCAGTTATTACCGTTGACACTACAAACTCTGGGATGTCAAGTCTCAGCCAAGAAGGCCCAACTCTTTCAACAAAAGCTTACTTACCTGGGCTATCTCACAGAAAAAGGCAACGGGGTGCTGGTGCCCACCGAGTCCAAGCAGTACAGTGCCATAGCTGACCCAGAGTTAGAACCTAAGCAACGCCATCTTAAACCCTGTACCCTGCAAGCACCAAGAAAAATGGTTTTTCCAAAAATAAGTTGTAACTTCTGCCCTGTTTCCTTTGTGATAACTGCTTGCTGCCCCGTTTTCCTTGCAATAACTGCTGACCTTGGCTTCTGTGAAAAATAGCTAGCTTGCTCTGCATAACGCTGATTGCAAAAAAAAAAAAAAAAACGCCATGCCCCACCAGGATGTGGGTTTTCTGTTTAAAACCCTTGCTCCCCCTGAGCTCGGGGCCACGGGTTGGAGAGACACTAGCCCTCCATGGTCACCAGCAATAAATGACCCTCTGAAGTGGCTTACTTTTGTCTTGGTGGTGATTTCTGTACTCGCTCGGTTACAGCAGTACTACAGATGCCCACCCCTACCACAAAGCGCCAAGTTCGGGAGTTCCTCAGTGTGGCAGGATGCTGTAGGCTATGGATTTTAGGTTTTGCCGAAATAGCCAGGCCACTGTATGCCTGCACAGGAGGGCATCAACCCCTAATTTAGATAGTGGTAAAACAACAGGCTTTTAATAAGCTTGAAGGCACTCTAACCTCGGCCCCAGCCCTGGCCTTGTCAGATGTTTGTAAACACTTCCGGTTGTTTGTACATGAAAAACAAGGAATCGCGAAGGGGGTGCTCACCCAGACATTAGGACCATGGTCCAGGCCAGTTATCTACCTGTCAAAAAGACTTAATCCTGTAGCCCTTGGGTGGCCAGCCTGCCTTCAGCCTGTGGCAGCAACAGCACTGTTAGTAAAGGAGGCGGCCAAACTGACTCTGGGGCAGGAATTAACCCCAGTGGCACCCCATGCGGTAAAATCACTGCTCCACGGGGCTCCAGGAAGGTGAGTGTCTAATGCCCGCATAGTGCAGTATCAGGCTGTACTCTTGAACCAGCCCAGAATCAAGTTCCTGAAAACTACAGTCCTAAATCCGGCCACACTGCTGCCTAACAGTGAGCCAGGAGAACCCACACATGACTGTCAACAAATAATAGGTGTCATCCAAACCGCTCGACCGGACCTCACCAATGTCCCCTTATGGAACCCAGAAGAGGTACTGTATACGGATGACAGCAGTTTTATAGTCAGCGGAGTCAGGTATGCGGGGGCAGCCACAGTCACCCTAGAGCAGGTCATCTGGGCCCAGGCCCTTCCTCATGGGACTTCAGCCCAAAAGGCTGAACTTCTAGCCCTGATAAAAGCCTTAAACTGGGCAGAGGGAAAGACTGTCACTATTTACACCGACAGCTGTTATGCCTTTGCTAAAGAAAAAGGATTACTTCCCTCCAAAGGAAAAGCTATTAAAAATAAAGAGGAAATTCTAGCCCTGTGAGAGGCTATATAGAGCCTAAAACTGTGGCACTAGTCCATTCCAAGGGACACCAAAAGGGGAATTCCCCAGAGGCAAGGGGAAATGGGGCTGCTGACTTACAGGCCAGGCAGGCAGCCATGGGGCCAGGGAAACCACTGACCCTCCTTGTAACCCTGCCTGCCCCAGTTCTGCCCCCTACTCGCATGTACTCCTCAAGGGAGAAGGACTTTGCAAAGGAACAGGGTGCCACACAGAGCTCCACAGGATGGTAAATACTGCCAGACCAAATGATTGTGGTCCCAAGGCTCTAGGACAGGCCCTAGTTAAAAACACACACCAGGCCACTCACTTAGGACAGACCAAACTAACTATACTCCTAAAAACCAAGTACTACATTCCCCATTTACATGACCTTATCAAGAAAATCACTACTGGTGTAATGTATGTACCCAAGTAAATCCGGGAGGGAACAGGTCTAGCCAAGTAAAACTCAGAGGGAC